ACGAAGTAAACAAGGAAGTCGATGCTCGGGGAAAGGCCCATTGAGACGGCATAAAAACAACAAAACAACGTAGTTTCTCGCGGACCGGCGAAAAAGCTTTGCGGACCGGCGGTGGGAACCACTGCTCTAGTCTATTCAAACAGACACGTACGCACCCGACGACGACCGGAATGGAATCGCCATATGATTAGGCCGTCTTTTCGTCTTTAGTTTATTTTTCCATATTTATATATTGAGTACTATTAGTGTATCTGTAATAACTGCCATCTAATTCTGAGCCTAACCCTTGCTGATTCAAATAATAGTTTATTTCTTCATATTTATATATTAAGTACTATTTGTGTATCTGCAATAACTGCCATCTAATTTTGAAGCTAACCCTTGCTGATTCAAATAATAGTTTATTTATCCTATTTATATTTTGAGTACTGTTGTATGTATTCGCCAAAACTGCCATTTAATTTTGAGGCAAATCCTTGCTGATTCAAATTATAGTATATTTCTCCGTACTTATATATTGAATACTGTTTGCGTATTTGCAATAACTGCCATCTAATATTGGGGCAAACCCTTGCTGATTCAAATTATAGTTCATTTATCCATATTTATATATTGAATCCTATTTGTGTATTCGCAATGACTGCCATCTAATTTTGGGGCTAACGCTTGCTAAGTCAAATAATAGTTTATTTATCCATATTTATATATTGAATACTATTTGTGTATTCGCAATAACTGCCATCTAATTTTGGGGTAAACCCTTGCCAAGTCAAATAATAGTTTATTTATCCATATTTATATATTGAATAATATTTGTGTATTTGCATTAACTGCCATCTAATTTTGAGGCAAACCCTTGCTGATTCAAATAATAGTATATTTATCCATATTTATATTATGAGCACCATTGGTGTATTTGCAATAACTGCCGTCTAATTTTGAGGCTGAACCCTTGCTATATTCTTTATATTGAGGTCTATTTTGTGCATTTGAGAGGCTGACCCTCTCTATTTCAAATAATGTTTATTTATCCAAATTTCCACTTGATATTAAGATTACCAAAATTGTTTCACATTTGGGGTATATAATAGTTTATAAATTGGTACTTATATATGTATTTGTGGGTATTAATCACCCATCTGTCTAAATTCTTTCTTGTTATAAGGCTGATTCCACTCTTTATACAATTGTTTCCCAATATTATATTCACATGACTATGAGTACCATTTTGTTTATCTCCGGAAACTTAATATTAACATGTGAGGCTTACCGCTTGCTGACGCAAACAATTGTTATGTGTCCAACTTTACATTTGAGTATAGTAGTCCAATAGCCAAATTTGTTTTTTTATTCATGGGACTTAGACCTCGCTTTCAAATAATAGTCTGTGTAATAGTTGATTATTCGTTCAAACTGTTTCATTTCTCAAAGACAAATCTTATCTTTTAAAAATTTACTTCGCTAAAATATTTATATTTTTTTGTTCAATTTGTATAACGCGCCTCAGCCCATCTCTTATTTTCTCATTTTGTTTTTAATCTTCACATGTTGATGGCTATTGAAATTTGTAGCCCAATTGCAGGCAATTTAGGTAAATTAGATAACAACATCACATGTAATATCAAAACGATAAATAGCATCCCGATCCCGCTTACATATATTTTCCAAATATGTATCCATGACGAATGCTTGTAATATCCTTACCTGACCCCTTCATAAATTATTCTCCCAGTCCAAAATGAATGTAATATCTCTTCAAATGAAAAATAGTAATGGGCTTCTTAGTTGCATCATACCACATTTATTTTGTTAGTTTTATAACTTTTCTGTATTACTATGTTTATTCAAATTGTGTGTTTGTATATATAGATGTTAACACGAACAATTGATTAGTCCATTTTTTTGTTTTGTTCGTTTTTTTTTCAAATTTTGTTTCATGAATTTTAACCACTTCAAATAGTCATATTTTACTGTGAACTTATCAGCGTAAACTTGGAGGGAGCTGACTTCGATGACCGCATGGTCGTATCGCTCCTTCCAGTCTATACCGAAAAAAGTGTATTTTTTGTTACCATTATTTATTGTTATGACTGTTTTTTTTTCTGGTTGACGAAAATAAAAAATCTCTCTCTCTCTCTCTTTTCGGCTTTCTATTCCTACCGGACCTACGGGATATATATATGTAAATCCTGGACTCCTCGCCGTCGTTGGGGGGTTCACGTAACCGCTGGTCGGTTACGGCTTCCTCTACCACCAAGTCCATGCTTCCGAAAACAAACAATATAACTAATCCCATACCCGACTGGGAATGGTAACCTGACGAGAGGCCATGGTTCGCCGTATGGATATGCCGTCTTATCGGCTTTCCTCTCCCCCGGGATAAATATATAAATATTATCCTATTCTGTCCAATGTATCCTGATCTCTGATACACCCATCCTGCTGGCATTGAGGATGGCAAAAATATGATCATCTGGCAACCCAAAAATAGGCGTCACACTGGGTGATGCGTTTCTCTGCTCTCGAAGGTTCCAGTTAGGATAGGATAGGATAGTTCGCCGAGCAGTTGGTTTATTTGGTAAAAAGAGATTCCATTTCGTCGCATGTGAACTACTGGCTGTTGTACGGATACGGTACCTAGTACGGTAACGCTCAATCATTTATTCCCATCGCGTGGGAGTGCTGTTATTTAACTTAGTTATGAATGGATACGGTACCTCACCAAATGAAATCACAGTATTCTGGTACGGTAGCCTACCTGTTTACTGTATTCTGGTATTAGGTACCGGTAGCCTACCAGTATGCTGGTATGTAAATCAGTTAATTACGGTACCGTAACTTCTGAACTTAAATCAGTAGTCTAGATTCAGAGATTAGAGTAGCCTAGTGTAATTATTCTTTACTGGTGCGGCGTAGTTACCTGGTAGCTTTTTTTAAATGTGGCAATAATGAAATCTGGAAATACCCGATGGATAATAGTCTACCAGACCATACTCTATCAACAGATCAATACAGTACGGTACAGCAGTACAAATATGGTCTCATGTAGTTTCGTACCGGTACCTAACATACTTCTAGTGGGCGTAGCATGACAATTTTTTCACGTATCAATCATAACCCCTGCCTGACTACACCTAGGGATGGGCAATGTAGAATAATTTACTATTCTAGAATATTCTAGAATAGTTGAACCGAATCCAGAATACCGAATCCTATTCTATTTTCATACTTATTCAAATAGTGGGAATTTCCACATTGCTGGATTTAGATGTTAAAAAATTGCAATGTATTACTTACTATAAATGTATTATTTATTTGGAAATGTCCTGAACATTGGATTTCATTTGATACTAAACAGGCAGTTTCCAGGACAATAAAATTTAGGAATATTACAATATTTTTTGCCTTCAATTGTTCCAAATGTATGTAATCCCTAAATACTGATATGCTAAACTAAGACACGCTTTACACACTTTAATAGTAAGCGGTTTAATACAAAATAGACATGAAACGGCGTTAAATCATTATTAATGTAAGTCTGCCGAGTGTACTAAAACATACCCGCTGAGAATTAATTAGATGCAGAACCAGCGTGTGGCCACTGCAACCTCTGCTCCGTTGTAAAATATTAAATTTAACCACTATCAATTAAAATCAACTTTTTATTCTGTGCGAGCAAGACACGTAAAACCAAGTTCCCTAAAACGTGATTTCGTACTTAGTTATTAGGTAATAACATCTAAAGACGAACTCATTTTCTATGATTATCGTTACATATCATTATCTACCCAGACTTGGCCCTACTAAAATTCAATACGTCACTATCTTCGCCAGATGCGGCAACTTTTTTCAAAATTCATCGCCGTCTAAAATACTACAGACTTTCGATCAAACGTGCGTCTATCTTGAACGATAGAAATGTTATCATTAATCATTATCTACCCAGACTTAGCCCTACTAAAATTCAATACGTCACTATCTTCGCCAGATGCGGCAACTTTTTTCAAAATTTATCGGCGACCAAAATACTACAGACACTCGAACAAACGTGCGTCTATCTTGAACGATAGCAACAGACCGAAAAATATGTAATCTTTTGAGAGTGAAATTCAAATGTGACAGATGTTCGCGTTTTGCGATATAACTTTGTATTTCGGAAAATGGTATAATAAAATTATCAGTAAATAATATTTGATCTAAATTAATCGCAAGTAATGTTATAAAATTTAACGCCTGGCTTTTGGTTTACGTGCATCATTTTTTGGGAAAACTCGTAGGTCGCGAAAAATCATTAAATTTAAAATGAAGCAAGGCATGTCTGTAAACAATTAAAGATTGTTGCATTCAGATTATCGGAATATCACCAGTAAGTCGGCACAAATAACGCTAGCTAGATAGCAAAGGAGGAAAACGCAAAAATGGTGCAATAACGAGTCTTCGCCGTGAGGTTATATTGCCGACTTCTTGTCCTAAATATGCCGATTGAAATTACAGTGTTTGATGTTTATTGATTTACGGGTTCTTTGCGAGCAGACGCGAGTTTGATTAAACGAGAGAGATTTCCACACGAGAAAAACGCTCGTTTATAATTGATAAATTAGAAACCCGAAATACAAAAATTGACGCATGGCGGCGGAAACCGAATTCTGTTATCGGATCCCGTTGGATTCGAATACTTTGGGATTCGAATCCTCCGGATTCGGTATTCTGCATTGCCAATCCCTAACTACACCATCCAAAAATTACATCATTACGACATCACAGTGACGTAATATAGCCCTTCAAACTATATGAACTGCCATCCAAGAGTCCCACATTCGGCAATTTGGATGATTTGTCTTCTCTTAATCAATATCCACATTTGGAATTTGAGGCAAACCTGTATATACTCATTCGAAACCTAAAATACAAGTTCCAGGAAAACGTAATACAATGCAAATTTAGGGTAGAAAACTCGATTAAAGTTAGCGTCAAACAATGCTTTTTAGACATTAATTAATCGTTACTTTTTACTTGTCTTATCAAGGTTAACAAATTATGAAGAATAATATAATTAGAATTGGCTCATGAACCACACATAATCTAAATTTATTGTACAAATTGATTTAAAGGCAGTGTTAGTAGTGCTGAGAAAATTAAACATGGATGTTAATACTTGGAATAGTGTTCACCTCAGTGAACTGTTGTCTCAAACCAAATGTGACGAGGAGGTGGGTAATATTATATATCAGTATCTTTTTTTAGAGTGAATCACTATTTTGTTTTTCATTGTTTTTTGTATCAGCTAGTAAAAGTATTCGACTACATCATTATTTTAAATGCAATAGTGCATGCATTTGACTATCGTAATTGTGCATTACAATCAGGTCCAAAAGTTACCCACAATTTTACCAGCCTCATTCAGCCAGTATTTTGACATATCATAAATGTCCATTTAATTTTAACTGTAGGATAATAAATGCACTATACTCAGGGCTGCCATCGATATGAACCCAAAATTAAGGACATCAGGGAAACATAATAATAAGATAACAAAGAATGAAATAAAATAAAATGTATTCATGCCAGAGCGGAAAGTGTCTAATCATACTTTGCACTAGAAAGGATTTGCTCTAGCAGTATTTTATTCTTAAAAACTATCTGAACCATCTCACTTTTGAGTTGTATTTTGATTCAAGTTACACAAACTGATCTTTGCTGGTAGGCTATAGTATTGTCATGGAAATTAATTTGCTATTATGAATGCGCATATCGATAATTGTGGTTTTAATATCATTTCTAGCAAATCAATCATTCGAATTGCTTAATCTCAGTGCCCGGTATAAGAACCTCTCCCCCTAAAATAAAACAAAAATAAGGACGTTTCTTAGAAATGAGAACAAAAATATTTTCTAAGACCGCCAAAATAAGGACAAATCTTAGAAAGAAGGACAGTGCATGATTGCCACCAGGTAAACTCATGTATCGACTGGGAAAACAGCAGGATACTAGAAAAAGAAACTCAATACAGGAGAAGATTATTTCTCGAATCTTATCACATAAATAAAGAGAAGAATTTGATGAATGACAAAGGAACCACACTTTTCCCCGCCTGTGTTTAAATCATTGATTAAATAGTCTCCTTTTTGTTTGAACTTGCGCTAGTTTGTTTATTTATGCATATTATCTTTTAATAATCCTTTTAGATTAGAGTTGACGCCATGATAATTTTTATATTTTTCCTTTTTTCTTTTTCTTGCTCTATATATATCCACTTGCGTCCTTTCCATTTCATGCCCTGATGAAGTTTTTCTGTATAGAAATTCGAAACGTCGGCAAATTACATCGTTTTGCTAACAGCGGTGGTGCTTCATTTATTAGAAAGAAGGATGTTATGGCAGCCTATACTATATATACCCAATGTGTCGATTGCTGCCTTCTTGCCGATGAGTATCATTATGACATGTCATTTACATGGCTGGTTTACTCTTGTCATTAATTAATAATGTTTCATCATCATGTTGTCACAATCAATAATAACCTCTCAATCCTCACTCTGTTATTAATGCTATGATATATATATATTGTCAGGTTAAATTTGGAATTATTTTGTTGATCAAATTCACTTTTATGTTTGATATTCATGAATCATGATAATATTTATCCATGAAATAGAAGTTTCATACAGCAGTGTCATTTTTGCTTACATGAAAACATTGTATTACGTTTCATAGAGACTAAGATATTACCAATGGTGCCAAATGTTATTGGGATTGTGTCATAGTTTCATACTCCATCCCTATGCTGGTTAAAGGATAGGTTTTCTATTCATTTTGCATAGGTATCTTTCTAGTCCTTTCTGTACTCGGGGAAGTTTTTATATTTAAAACATCGCTTCTTGTCAATGTGTTCAATTGACAGAGAATGGTGAATGTACAAAATTTATTTGTTTAAAGGGCAACTTGCTTTGGATTTCAAAGAGAAGAAACGAGAGACATTTGTGATTGTATGAATCAGCTACACTGGTTACAGAATGGTTGAAACTTTCCACATGCATATATTTACTTTATTACGGCAGATGCACATTATATACTCCTTTTGTGTAAGAGGCTCATTCATGTCGAAGTACAAAAATATGAATCAAAGAAGGGTTTATGAATGTGGAATTAGTTATGAAGCCATAGATAGGGCATGATATACTTTTACTACCAGCTTCTTATATTGTTTCTATTAAATTATTCCAGAGATTGTTTGATCATGACGTATTAACAAGCCGATTGAAAAGAACTTTGTGTTACGATCCATTAAAACGACCTGATATGGACACCCTTTCCTTTTCTGTCACAAGTAAGTCATGACTTATGCCCAGGTATTTTCACAATCTTGTCTGATCCCTTAATTCCTTAGTACGTTTATTTTAGACTGTGTGCACTTTATGGTTTGCTTTACATGGAGAACTATGTTATCCGTTATTATCAATAGAATTTAAATCTATGCCACCACTTTCAAAATGTAATAAATTGAGGCTACAGTTAATTTATTACTGTATATATAATACCATTTCAAAAGCTGAATAAGTTTATTGTTATATAGAGCCTTTTGCAGAGCCGAGTGTGCACTACTTATAAAGCATATACAATAGATGGGTATGAGATTTATTGTTCCTGTTGTTGTTCAAAGTTGTTCATGCGATATGTAGATAATTCTGTTATATTCTTTTATAGAATCTGCAGTGTCTTGTTTCCGTCATGCAGCTCCAATGCCCGTAGGAAAACTAGGACATCGATATGCATCTCGTGTAGCCAGGTTAAAATTCAAAGCTTTTTGTTATATTTCAATAATATGTTATTTTATTAACATCTAATTGACTTGTTTACCAGTAGTGATTACCAACGTTCTATTTATTTTCTTGGGGTGTCAATATCTTGTCACATTTGACAATGATTATTGTTTTTACAAATGACTGTGTTTATTGCAGTAAAAGTGTAATCAACTCCAGTGACCCTATTCATTCTTTTATTATGCCATCTTATTCTGTAGAACTTTCAAGGGGTTGCTGTCACAAAAAATCCCAAGCATTTAATGATGTTACCCATATCCGAATAATTCATTAGTGTATTTTACAGACCAAAAGGCACGCTTAATATCCTTTACTCTCAAAAACAGGTTGTGCGCCTTATAGACCCGCGCGCCTGATGTATGGATCAGGTATTGCCTCATGCTTTATTATATATATACTCAAAATTAGTACCGGTTGCGCCCTAATGTCCAGTTTGCCTTATTACGTATGAACAAAAAAACGAATCTAAGCAATTTATTGATAGTGTGCCTTATGGTCCGTAAAATAGCTTGTCAATTTATTCTAATATGAACATTCAAAATTGGTGCATTTTACAGGAATATTTTGTTATATACTAACTGTATCAGGTTTATTTACTACAAAAAGCTTTTACTACAAAAAATGGAGTATAAAACATAGTTTTGATTATCTTTTCATGTTGTTCCACTGTTTTTTTGTTTTGTTTTAGAGATGCTTGTATATCTCCATGTGCTTTGCTCCTTGGATTGATATACATCGAAAGGCTGAAAAGCAGGAATCCAAATTATCTGACACAAATTTCATCATCTGAACTTTTTCTGATATCAATGGTATGCTTGTTTAGGCTAAAAAGTGTTATTTCGGGGTTATTTTATCTGGTGTCTTATGAGTCAATTTTTTCACAGATGGTAGCTTCAAAATATTTATTCGATGAGGGTTGTGAGGATGAGGTGTTCAATGATGAGTGGGCTATATCTGGTGAAATGGAAGTAGCCAAAGTAAATAAACTGGAGAGAGAATTTCTTGGAGCTATCGATTGGAATTTGTATGTCAAACCTCATGAATTTTCATCAATGCTGACCATTGCAGAAACTGAGTAAGAAACATAATGCATACATATGCTGAGACTAAGTCTACTAGATTACTAATCAATAAATTTGTAAATATATTATTAAATCATTGAACTGATTTGTAATTATATAAACATAAATAATCTTTTCAATGGAAAATAGTGGCCAACAGTTTTCTGATATCCTATCTGTATTATCATAACGCTTAGTGGAATGGTGAATTTTGAATAAGCACTGGAATGATATTAAACCAAGATGTATATCTTATGATCACCATGTTTATATGTACACCATTTATTATAGTTACCTCAAGTTTTTAGAATAATCCATTCCAGATATATCAGTCATTTGAACCAGTGATAGTGATATGAAACAAAAATTAATTTTTTTAGCCTTATTATATCAAGTAGGTAGTTGATGTATCCATTCCATTGGTGTTTTTTACCAGATTTATTCATTCATTAAATTTGTTATTTTCATTTAATCACAATTTATACTATTTCAAATTTAAAGAAAGTTACCGATATATGATGTTATACTAAATAGAATCGGATATTGAAATATTCAAGTTGAAACAATTCTGATGAGAAATTAAATTCGAAAATAACATAGGCTATTTGAAACTTACATCCCTAGTAATTGCACACAAAAAATGGATTCCATAGAGCCCACCGAAAGTTGCTCAAACATACAGTAACTGATACCCTACATGATTTTTATAATTGTATCATTATTATGTGCATATTTAAATAATTAGGCCTATTGTTGTTAGATACACGTTTTTTTAATATTTTGGGTATTTTGAAATGCGTAAAAACAAATCAACATAATTACCATTGTTTCTTGTAGCAAAAAAAGTCAAATCGGTAATCGAAAACCAATCCTGAACGAATTATTCAACTACCAAGATATCACTGTATTTATTTACATATCTGGGTTGCACCTTTTATATACTTTTCTATATAACAAAAATGTTTTAATAGTTATCGTAACTTTAAATCTGATTCGAAAGAAAAATAAATACGCTAGTCGTTTTTCTCAATGTTATTCCTTCGACTGTATCGTCGATTTCTGTCATATTGAAGTACCCTTAAATTAATACTTTCACTTAGTTGAGAAAGTATTGCTTTCGTTTGAGTTAGACTTCTATTCCAGTGAATTTCAACTCTTTTTCCATGTGATATTTCAGTGTTGCACTATCAAACGGCTGTGAACGTGGATGGCTGACATATAGTGATTTACGCTCTTTACTTGATTGTCATAGTATATATAAACAAATGACTCAAACTGCTGGAATCTTGTCAAAGGTATGTTTTATTTTGTGACAACTGCTTTCAATTTAATGAACAAATGTTATATTGATATATATGGGTTTTCAGGCCACCTGTATATGCATGATAATGTATAGTGGACTGGTATGTCTGGCTGCCTTCACTTCTGCTGCACTGGTCTCCGTTTCACAAATGGCATATCAGGGGGTAGTGCCAATGGAACCACAACCTCAAAATCTTCCTCTCGATACATTCGGAACACATAATGATACAGATGAAGGTATTTAGATTTTAGTCAAATGAAGATTTGTTTTCGTAGCAGCAGTTCCTTATGCCATAGATTTGCTTTTTGCAGAACCTCTAGCATTTATGCAGGAACCAGAAGAAAATCTGCTTGATGCTGAGGAATTTCCTGGATTTTTTCCACAGTCCAGTGTTATCTACACAAATCAATTAAGAAGCCGAATGGAGGGTGACCATGGTTCCATTTTCCGAGGTCGTCCGCCATCACCGCTGTCTCAGCCTGTACCATTGCCTGTTGTTGATTTTGATGACACGCCTAGGACGACCCTCCAATATGGGAATATTTTCACCAAATATTCAACAAAAAGCTCACATGATCAAGATGTTGACAAGCAGTATGTTCCCAAAGTTCTACACTCAAAGAAAGCTATCTGTACTATTCTTGAAGCCTTTGTGTTTATGACTAACGTTCCAATGATCTTCAAGGACTCTTCCAAACCTGTATGCAGCAGTTGTGGCCGGCCGATTAATGATGTGGCGTCTGAGTTGCCTGTTTGTAAGAGGTAAGAATCTGTTCTTTTTTTTTTATTTTTTCAACCACTGGCAATGTTCTGCACATGACATTTAACACATAAATAGTCTGAAGGAATTTACCTTTTTTTCAGGTTTGATACTACTTGCCCAGATGTTATCTCCAATTTCTCCAATCATTTCAATGCTGCCCTAGGTAAGAACTGTTGCTTGTTCATTTTATCATTTATTTTGATGAAACACCTCAACCCGGGTCTACCCTAGATCAGTGGTTGTTAACCCTTCTTACACTCATGCAGGGGCATAGCCAGAAATTTCTATTTGCCAATAAATTAGATTGAAACATCTAGCGCAGGGGTTCTCAACCTTTTTTTGTCAAGTACCCCCCGAGTCACGAAACAATCAACGCGAACCCCCGGTAATCTGACACCCAACAAAGTTGTGATATATCGACTAACAATTTGTTGAAACAACAATTTATTGACCAGATAAAACTAAATTTAATTTCCCTGTTACCGATATTGCCCTAGTCCTTCGCCTAACTAATAAATTCTTGAAATCCCTCTCGAGTGTCAATAAGGATATCACTTTCTCCAATGCTTGCACACGCTGTATTTGGAAATTTCAGTTTTCCTGCAAGCTGTGAATTTCACATTGTTTACGTCACAATCACAACAACGCAAGATCAGGGAAAATCTATGTTTCAATTGGCATCCAGTTTCAATCGGCACGCATTTTCCTCTGATAGTAGTAAAGGATATTAAAAAACAGCAACACACAAAAACTCGACTGCCATCCAAGTACCCCCTGAAATATTCTCGTGAACCCCCGGGGGTTCGCGAACCCCAGGTTGAGAACCCCTGATCTAGCAGTTCTGGCCGAATGCCAGAAAACGTGTGTTTTCATGAGTCTTGAGGGTCTAAAAAGCGTTTCAAGCTACGAAAAATTGCTATGTAGGATACAGAAAGATGCTTTTATTTTTTTTACATTTCAAAAGGGGGAGGGGAGGGGGGTTCAGACCGCTAAAACCATCCCCTGGCTACGCCCCTGCACTCATGCCATCAGATTTATCGAAGGTTGAAATGGGTAACAGATCATCTCAATCTGTACATACAATGAAGCAAATGCCTATAACTTAGCAGATTATATGTCTTTCTAAAAGTTATTATTTTGAGGCTAATTCTTCTGCCTATATAATATAATCTTCATATGAACAATATCGTATCAGAAAGTTGGCTCGGCGGTACGGCACATCATGCTAAGCGTTAGGAGTACGCTCGCCACCGCACCTCTGATTACCCTGCGTGGGTGGTTCGAATACCATGCAGGGATAAGGATAAGTATGTGAGAGAGGATTGCTGGACTTCTCGTCGGCATAGGGTGGTTCACGTAACCGATGGTCGGTTACGGCTTCCTCCATCCAGTCCAAGCATTTGAAAACAATTAACTGTCTTAACTAATCCCATACCTGACATGGACTGGTAACCGGACGAGAGGCCATGGTTCGCCATATGATTAAGCCGTCTTATCGTCTTTCATCTCCCGAGGATAAATATGTAAATCCTATCCTTGCAGTTAAGGATGATTTGAGATTTACTTCTATTGCCAATTGAAAAATTCCCTGTGCTTCTTTCAAACTGATGCAACCAATGTTAACACTTCTATATTTTCTTTAAATTTTAGGTCTCAAGATTCTGTCATCACGCTATTTACACCATCAACCAGCTAAACACACATATCAATCTGGAAAAAACTTCAATCTCACTATTCCTCCATCTCCAAATATTACACCTGGCATCACAATTGTTGTTCATTAATGTTACTGTCTCAAATTAATTACCATTACACTGATTAGGTAGAAAGTACAGCCACCAAGTAGTAGTAATGTAGCAATATACCGATTTTGGCCATTTTGACAATTAGAAGAAAAATAAACATCGTTACTTCAGAAATTATTCAGGTAAAAAATACTATTAAGAGTTTGAGGAAACACTAAATCTTGTTCTATTTATTGCTTCCAATGGTATTAGTTTTTTTCTTTATTCTGATGGTTGTGTAATATTAACCAGGGAATAATGATATTATCATTTGATTGGCATTTACCATTTCAAAGGTAGCACTGGTATGTTGTCATTGCAGATGCTGGGTGGTTTTGTTTTCTGCTTTTCAAGGAACTTGAATGTAACTTTGATTGGATCATGATAGAAGTTATTTTCACACCCTTGCATTTCTTTGCCCAGTCAATGTTGCAGTTTGTCATAGTAAGATAAGATGAAGTAGGTTAGCGATGCTTTTTATTTTTCTCACTGCTAGTTCAGTATTGTGCCTGAATCTGTTTTAGAATGATTTGGATATTGAATAAATGATATTATTTGGATAGTGGTTCTTAATTTTCCTTTCACTTGCGTGGGAGGGAGTGGTAGTGAGTAGAAGTTATAAGTAAAAGTTCATTTAGACTTCATAATCGGCATAATAGACGATAAAGTAGTTCGTGAAAACAAAAAAAATGATTATAGAATCGGAAGGGCAAACAAAACCTCGGGTAATGTTTGAAACTTAACAGATTTTAGATGGAAAGGTATTGATAAAAGAAGTAGTATGTGTTCGCTCACTCAAAGTTCACCACATGGTTGAAAATTTGTAAGTGAAATGATGTGTGTTGTTTGTTTAGAGCAGTCATATTGAGTTGTGGTATTCTTTTATGCTGGTAGTCCGATGGGATTCATGATTTTGAATTAAATGCAGGCACATACAGAGATGCATATTCGATTCTTGAATTTTCTTAGTAAAATTTGCTTGTTACAGACATCGGGTAGATTTTATTAGTTACTCATACCTCGCCAGCCAAGCTTTATCAAAAAGGTCAACCACACCCATTCATTACCACGCGAACCTAAATATATAATTATTATTCAAATTTACTGATTTTTATTATAAGTGCTAATGTGAACAATACCTTGGAAATTTATGGCACGCAGTATAAAGTTGGTGAGTCGGGAAACTTAGTCGTACTAGGCGATAAATAAATATTTATCAAATGCGTGCCTTTTTATTTAAACTATAACGAAATGTAGCTACTGCTTCTAGTAATGCCAAAATACACTTTAGTGCAAACATGAATTGTGTCCAACGACTAACATACCGATTGTGTCACTTCGTATCCCACAAATTCTTTATTTTATGTGTTTGTTTAACACAAATTTAAACATGTGTACAGTTGAAAAATATATTGGTATTGTAAATTCTATGTTCGATACTGTCAATGAGTATATATCCTCACCGGTAATGCTAGTCTTTTCATTATTATAATTTGCATATTACATATGGCGCTGGAGGACACACCCTGGCCAAGTAAAGGTCAAAGGTTAATCTCGGATTCATGTTGCTAGACTTTATTTCTGTTATGGGCCGTTCCAAGCAAGCACTGTACAATGGAAACGGCGGTACCCATACCGTAGTGTTTGCTGTGTGAGTTCGAGTTTATTTCGATCCCATATCCACTGAACGGTGGTTGACGGTATTGGTAACGTGCTGTATTGTCGAATTCGCCAGTTTGTACGTGTTTGATTTCAAAGCAAGGAGTTTATGAGTTTAGTATCCGTAGTTTTTATTTATATTTTGTACCGGTACCGGTACAGATGTAATATACGGTACCGGTACCGGTATCTGTAGTTTTTTTTTTTTTTGCCTTATTATATATTTTCATGTGTGTGGTTGTTTGTGTTAATGTGTATGTGCCGGTACCACGTCTTTTTGGCAAAACAATCCAACTTACTGCATTTATCCTTGGCGGCTTAGGGAGAGGAAAGCCATAACTTAAGACAGTTTAATCGAACTGCAGTACTGAGTTGTGTTATTATGATTCGAATCTAAGACTTTTCTATTCCACAATAGAGCTGAAATTCATAGGCTACTAGAAATAATGGTTTATGTCAGCTTCAAATTCAAATAATAATAGACTAGTCTAAATATGACACGAATACTAATATTGAAGGACTTCCATATTTTCTGAAAAGGAGAAAAGCTAATTCTGCCCAGTACCAGGATCATGTTATCTTGTTCAATATTAAAAATAATAATAACCATGTAAGTATCCTATGACAGGGCACAGTTTATCAATTTCAAGATGTCCCGACATTTGGTTCAATAAAACAAACACTCTATTTGTCTCTGAGACGAGGACGTCTGGCACGATGGCAGATGTGTCAGATCGCGGCCTACTTGTCTCTATAATAATTTAAATAAATCGCAAGGTGTCTCGGCCATCACATGACCAAAGTCGAATTTGTTTGGTAAAAACTTTCGAATGCTCTGGCCTCTGGTAAAATTTATTCCATTGAAGAAATTTTTTTTTTTCTTCTGAGGAATGGTGATGTTTTAAGATTGTGCTGCCTTTTAGTTCATCGCAGAGTGCGGATTGCTGATTTGTGTCGATATGGAGGCCCAGACTGTCTCGTTAAGAAGGGGTGTTCACTCACTGTTATAATTGCTGTCTTTTAATGTGGGGGCCATTCTTGGAGTAACAGAACTGTGTCGTACTGCAACTAAAATAATTCAGTGAAGTTTGGATTTAGAAGTTTAAATAGGCTACTGTACCCAACTACTGAAAAATCTGAATTTTTTCAAACATCGACATCTCTTTATTATATTTATATGTTCCTATTGAACCTTTTGATATTATCAATGCTCTCATTATACTAGGGCTTGTCTTATCTGGTATAATGAGATTTTTCAATATTTTCAAACAACAAAAAATCACCATTTATATGAGTCTAAATTCCTATCTTTGAGCTTCTGTAACAAAGCAGTTTTTGTGTGTATTAGCTACATTTATTTACATAATGAAGTATTAAGGTTGTGTCATTTCTAATTTATCTTGATTATAGTAAAATATGTTTTGTTTGTCGCAATAAATAACAGGTTGTTCTTGCCGATTTCTAAGTGTACTTGCATTGTCTATTGTCCAGCCCTAGCCCCGAGTCTAACACCTAATCATGGTATAATAATTCACCTATGCTAGCCCTGCCAAGTTCAGCATCCTATGTACTAATTTGTTCACTGTAAAGAGTCATTTTTAGAGTGACGATGCAGTAAAAAAATAAAAAACAAAGAAATTGTATTCATATTACTTAAATTTAGTTTTGTAGTCATATTTCTATCATGCCTTTTTATAGGGTGTGTGACATTTAATATTGTTCTATTGCAAATATACAGGTGGCATGGTTATATGTTTCTCAATGCATGTTGTTCTTATGTGAATATCAATACAATTTTGTATCTTCTTTTTAATATTTAGATGCTATATCGTGGCGCATTCAAGTGTATGTACTTTTATTTGACCAGTGGGTTCCAATCCAGCCCATTTTTGTATATCAACACCTCTATTCTATCGTACCAAAATATATTTGATACAATATTTTAAGTATTATAAATATTGCACTTTTAATAAAGCAATAGAATACTTGCTGATGCTTCACATCTGCAACTATCTATATCAGTTTGTAACATTGTGCAATGCAGATCATCTCCAAACACTAATATAAGATTTTGATAGACTTTGTAACAAAAGAAATTTGTCAACCTGGCATTTGGACATATTTGTAATGTCATGGTTGTTTATTAACTGTCACTAGTTTCCTCACTCAAATAGTTTTGAGTCTGGGTTTGTGACTGAGCGCGCTGTAATAATCACCAATTAATGGCAAGATGTGCATTATTGTATTTTGTAGTGCTCTTGTATTTGCGAAGCAGAGCTGGAAAATAGTACCAGAGTATTATGAAAGAAAGTGTACAGCTGAATATATCAGAAGACATGCAATTTCACCCCATGGGTTGTACCCACGACTTTGTGTTCAGTATGCAAGGTTCATAATCGCTCTTTGTTTGTTCTTTGTTGTCTTCAATGTAAAATCGGCATCACATTATTAATCTTCTCTCAGATTCAGGCAATCTTCAAATTTGTCTGTGTTATTGACACATTTTGAGTATTAGGCAGAATGGTAAGAAGTTTACAATAGTTTAAAAAATACACCATTCGGATTGCGTAAATTTTAAATGGCTCTCATGTTCTGTCATCCTTCAAGGATATAGGTATTGCTTGCCTACATGAACTGTATTGATCTTGTGTAGCTGAAAAGCATGTGTAATTTAGCATATGCATCAAATTCCTTGTACTAGAGTTGAGTGAACTGGTCAATTTCCCATATTTGCATAATTCTCCAGGGATTTTATCTTACTGTGTATATATAAAGGTCTAGTTTATATCTTACGTCAGATGCATTGTTCTCTTAATTACTATTTTCAGCATATATGTGGGGTATATGATAGGAATATTCTAAAGAGTCGAAGATCCTTTGTTCATTTCAGTTCACACAAAATGAATAATTTTTGCACTTACTTAAGGCTATGAACTTATAACTGAACTTATAGGACAAGCAATGTACATTCATGCTATACATTTAAATTATATATAATATAAACTGCTTTATTTATAGTTATCATTGGTGCTTGTAACTGTTATATCAAGGGATATTCGCACTTCTATTGAGGGCCAAGAAACACCAATAAGTGACTATAAATTACTTATGAAAAATAAATCTGTAGTATGTGGCATTAATTAAATGGAATTCTTTATTAGTAAATTTTGCCAGGGACTGAATTAAAGGGACTTTGTAAGTTCAAAGACAATATCAATCTATCGATTAAACTCTTAAAAATAGTTTTTGAATCAATAACTTTCCATATCGAATACTGGTATATATTAATCAATGATTTGACTTCCTTGATTTATTTAATGGTGTAAATAAAATGACTAAAACAATGCCATCATCTTATTATCAAAATTGGTAAAATTCTACTGTATGCAGTATGATATAAAATTCGATTTGTATTACATATATATAGAACATTGAGAAATGTTGACTATAATTGAAATTATGTATATCAACTATCAATTCTATCAAAGTGAGAAAGCTCGATATATTGCGATGGATTATGTCTCTTTCTGATCATTGTTTCCTTTCGTTTATGAATAAGAATTTGCCAATTGCCTCTTTCAAATATTGTGATCTTTGATATCTATTATATTCACATCATTTGATTATAAATTGTACTGCCATTGTCAAGCAATAAAGGTCTAATATTCAAATTAACCTTTTTTCATTGAAAATTGAATTAATTTAAATTTAGCTCAGATGATAGCATACATACCCCTTGTGACATTATTTTATGATTTATGTGTTCAGGAAGTCAGTACTACATGCTCTGCTTCTCGTAATTCATACACTCATTCAATGAATCATGTAGTTCCTGGCTAATGCGTGCCTGACGCCTGCATGTGACTGTTACCACTACCAAGAATATCACTTGTTGTTACCTGATATTGCAGACTAAGCTATTGCATATTAGGATTATCTTAAATGAAATAACATTTTTGTGGTTTATCATAATTTAATATCAATTTCTTCTGTGTATTTATGGAGCCAATTGCTTGTATTAGGACTTTCGAGTAGATTTCAAAATGACAACATCATATGAGAATAAATATTCAACCCTTTATTAAACAAAATACTCTTTTGTGTTCTAACTGCTATGTTATTGGAGTTATTGAACTTTGCAATCTAATTGCTAAAGGACTATTTCTTTAAGAAAATTATTAGAATCTGCTACCATTTTTATTTCTATGAAAGAAAATATTAATGAAAAAACAGCAATCTGAATTTCCCTATAGTTATCAACCATCAGGGAGTGAGCAATACTTTGCAGCTGACTTACCTTTTTTATTGTTTATTGATGATTTAATTTTAATTGAGCAGACTAATAAACTAAATTAATGTTCACGATTTCTATAAAGAGAAAACTGATTTGTTTGCTATTCAATTTATGGTAGTTGTGTTATAGTTTGCCTACTTTTATGACATATAATAATTCAGAGGCAGGTAACACATTGTCGTAATATTGGTACACTGTTGTTGTGTACTGTATTTACAGCCTTTACCTAATGAAGTCGTAATGCTTAGTGGTCTGGTTCATTTCACTGTTTAATATGGTAATGATTGATAACCTTTGGTGGCAAGCCATGACTTCAGATTTCCATTATAGACAATGATACTGCAACAGTTGGTGTATGAAGCAAAATTTAGATTGAGTATAGGTGACCATCTGTTGCTAAGCCACGGGTGTGCACTACTTCATGAAATTCAAAAATTTTGATTTAATATACATGTATGTATATGTATTTTACAGGTTTTATATAACAATGGGAACACGTAGTCACTATTGATTATAAGAGCTTTGTACTAGTAAAGTAGACATATCAGTATTTTGTCATAAAACGAGGTCAACACATTAATTTATTAGGAAACAGGGGAACTTTATGTGACAGATTTGAACTGTCATGGCGGCAGCTAATGCTGAACAAACCTCCTATAAACTAGTTGTAGTTGGAGGTGGTGGAGTCGGAAAAAGTGCATTAACTATTCAATTTATACAGGTGAGTTATTAAACATTTTTGATAATCTATTTTGTGTCAATATATAATTACCAATAATATATCTAGTTATCTATAATCTATACATGTCCAGTATTAAAGCTCTGATGTAATTTAACTTATTATACTTTTTTGTTCGTTTGACGCTCTTTCTGTTTAACTATGTCAAATCTGTAGGATTTTCCATTTTTTACACAAATTTTGTGGCATGTACATCTCCATATGTTGCTATTTTCATACTGTGAACTAACAGTTTTTATTTTTTTGTTTCAGTCGTATTTTGTTCAAGATTATGATCCAACGATAGAAGACTCTTATACAAAACAATGTGTTATTGATAATAAAGTTGCTAAACTTGATAGTGAGTACATTATTATTTTATATATCACTTTGCAGACAGACACTGGACAGTATAGATTTCAAAATATCGTGGGTCTGTAAATATTATATCGGCAAAAATTTGCTTTTCTGAATTTCAAATCTTGTTTGGTAAATGTTCTGACTAGGTTTTTTTTGACGACTGATGAAATAGCAAAGCCTAAAGCCTAGTGTTTTCAACAATGCTTTCTTATATATGCATTTGTTCAAAAATGGTTTGAATACCGGTACACTATTGCATATGAAAGGTCCATATGTTTCTTGCAACACATGTAGTAGCCTACTATAAATATATATGCCTACTAGGAATGGACGAAACCTAATATTTACTCTAGTGAATATAGTCTGAATCGATATATATGAAATATTGGATATAAGCTGAATTTGGGTTGTTCCAATTGATTTTTTGTATAAAGCATCAGACATTGAATGCCCCAAATGACAGATTCTCAAATGAAACTATTTTAAATTATTCCTATAACAAGAATTTACAGTGTCGAATATACCAAATTTTGAATGTGTCCGATTCATTCTGAATATCTCTGACCACTACTTTGGGAAATTATTGAAATGTAGGACTTTTATCCTTTTCTGAGTAGGTGAAAATCGGATTTCTGTCAATATATTTATTGCATCCGAGATTGTCACAATGTAATTTATTCTGATTTTGAATAACACAGCGAATTCTTGTTAGAAAGCAGCTTATATTTTGGACATTGCTAATTTCTGATTTGGTTTAAATTCTTATTATACAATGCTTATTTGCTTCATTGCTTCGGACGATAACCTGTACAAGCTATCGCTGCTTGTTAGTTAATAATGAGCTGGTATTTTTGGAAAGACAAGAATCTTTTCGGTGTGGTTTCGACTACCTGATTCTTCATTATACACTTGATGAGGTGATGGGATGGGATTTGAACGCAATTGGTTTTACAAATTTGTGATGTAATATTCATATATTGATTTTTTAGTTATTACCATATAATATAGTCTCCACTTGAGTTAATAAATCCATGAGTGAATATAATTTATATATATACATACATTGAGGGTTACATAATGTTGATAAGGTGCAAATGTGAAGGTTGTTGATGTTTAGGAACAAAATGACCTGTAACCCATAAAATATATTAGTAATGATAACAGTGTTGTGCTAATGCTTGTTAATTATGATTCATAACTTTGGCACAAGTTAGGAAAAACAAAAGGTGAAAGTGAAAATTGGCAGTTATCATGTGGGTGCTAAGCAGTAAGATGATTAGACTTAGACAGGATGTGTGGGTGCATAGGGAATCTTTAAATTTCAATATTTTATCATGCTTGTTTTTTATATCATATATATTGCAATGTGAAACTTTCATAAAAATACAGAATTGGGGATATAACAAATTGGTGCATTAAAAATTTGTTTCTCGAACGTGCATTTGGTGAAATACCTCGACTTAAGGATATATGCAAATACTAAATGACATCTAGTGCTATTATGGTCGCAAAATTAAATTACTAATACAAAAAATAAATCATTTTCATAGCATTTATTCCGCTAGGAATCATAACGTACTTTACTTAATCACTGCAAACTATTACCTGTCGTAATTCAATGTTAATCAAGTCAATTTTGGTCATTCAATAACATATCAAATTCATTTACAAGTATAAGTGGGTATACAAAGCGGACACACGAAGTTTGGTTTTATATTTCAGGCATAACTAAGCATTCACATCGTCATCAGATAACTATTACAGGGTAAATTCACAACCTCAATTAATATTATTCTGATTTTAATTCTTGACGTCTGCTTCGATCTTTCTCACACTCATTCCCAATTTTGAGAGAACAATATTATCATAATCATTATTATCAACTCTGTATTTTGTCTCAAAACTGGATAAATCTTGTATTAAACAAAAGTTTTATACCGTTTATAAATTTTGTGTTTTTAATCTGGAGCTTATGTTTTTTATCTTCAGAAATATTACATACATTCTTCATTTATATTATTATGTTCTGCTTGTTGTTACCACCCTTCATTACTGAAATTTTTAATTCCATTTATTTTTGTAGTTCTGGACACAGCCGGACAAGAAGAATTCAGTGCTATGCGTGAGCAATATATGAGGTCTGGAGAGGGTTTTCTACTTGTTTTTTCGGTCACAGACGAAAGCAGGTAATTTATAATCTCAATTAAACAAATGGAAAAATTGTGTCCATATTCACACAATATCCACAGTGCAATTTTCACTTTATTTGTTTAACCTGTAATCGATTTTATGCGTGATCATCACGTTTAATTACGTAGTCACAATTCATGTGGGTTGAATCCTTTTAAAAATGGATATGACATCATGCCTGTCGTTGAATTTACGAAATTCACTTACAAGTCATCAATCGCTTCTGACTTCCTTCTAAGGTACTATGGCATGCAATCACACGTTTCATTATCTTCACTTAGCTATGTCACTTTCAAATGGTCAATATCAGTTCAGTGTATAGCTTACCTTATCACTATAAATGAATTATTGGGCATAGTATGATTTGTTAGTCGAAATAGTTTAAAAAAAGGTCAATTTTGATAGAACTCCATACTTTAAATATGCTGTCTCAATTTTAAAATTAATCATTATTACGCTCTGATGAACATTTCTTGATGGTTTTCCATAAAACCTAATATATAAAGGTATATTAACTAGATATATAAGTATAAAGTAAAAAAACTTGCTAAAACACTTTTTTTAAAAAAACAAACCCGGCTAAGATATATTGAGAACTTGAAACAAAATTTTAAAATTCTAACAGGACTTTATGAACACCCTGTACTTGTTATATAGGCCCGAAATATTTGGGCTCGAATGTTCAATGATTCCATTTTCTTTTTTGTAGTTTCAATGAAATTCATAATTTCCATAAGCAAATTCTACGAGTAAAAGATAGAGATGAATTTCCTATGATTTTAGTCGGAAATAAATGTGACTTGGATACACAGAGAAGGGTGAGATTGTATTGAATACTTAGTAGTTCATTTTCTAACAAATGTAAATGATGAAAAAATATTATCTGAGTTGGTTAATTAATAAAGTCATTTTCTGATAAAATATGGTTTCATTCTTTATTTACATCATATTTGGAATTGTTGTTTATGAAGCAAGATTGTCTAGGTTTATTGTATTTTTCTGGATTTTTTACCATAATTTTGTATGTGAAGGACTTAATGTTTATCTGACCCCTTTCATTAGGTGACACAAGAACAAGCGAAAGCGAGAGCGAAAGAACTTGGTATACCATACATTGAAACTAGTGCAAAATCCAAGCTCAATGTCGAGCAAGCATATTATGATCTAGTTCGGAGAATTAGGTATGAATTCTTTTTTTGTCGACACAAATATTTGTTTATTAATTCATGATTATAATGTTGTATATTTCATAGTTACATACATTAGTAATGCCAGTAGTAATCTATAGTACAATCGTAGTTATTGTTTCCGAGTAAAGTTATTTTGTGGGCACAGTTACTCATATCAAGCTCTGGTTAATGCAACATTGAGCCTATTCCCAATTTTTTACTCAAGGTTTAAAAATTTGAGTAAGCAAGTAAAAGTAGCAGCTATTTCTTACTCATAAGTGTCTCATACATAGGGGCTACATAGGGACTTCAACAGATTAAAAAGCCTACTACAATACGTCAATACCCTTCGAAAAAAATATCAATATCCTAATCTCACAAAGGTTGTTATAAACTAGCTATGTAGAAATGGCTATTTAGGATAGGATAGGATTTACATATTTATCCCGTGGGAGAGGAAGCCGATAAGACGGCTTAACCATGTGGCGAACCACGGCCTCTCGTCCAGTTACCAGTCCATGTCGGGTATGGGATTAGTTAGCCAGTTATTTGTTCTCGGAAGCATGAACTTGATGGTGAAGGAAGCTGTAACCGACCCGCAGTTACGTGAACCACCCTGCAGCGGCGAGGAGTCCAGCGATCCCCTCTCACATAACTTTCCATGCAGGGAATTCGAACCTGCGAACCCACGCTGAGTAATCAGAGGTGCGGTGGCGAGCGTACTCCTAACGCTTACCACGATGAGCCACACCGCCGATATAGTATTTATATATATTACTGAAAATGTGTGCTAAGAGTCCACATTAAATATTTTTATCTGAATTTTGATCCTATTATTCGGCAGGGAATTCCAAACTTGGGACTCAGAACCACAAGAGGAAACTCAAGGAGAGAAAAAAGATTGTTGTACAATATTGTAACACCAAATTTGACAATAACTCGAACAAATGGTTATTATTGTCGCCTTATTTTCTACTGCTTACTGGCGGACAAATATACAATAAGTGCATGAAGTAACCACAACTGAGTATATCATGACATATTTGTTTCACTCGTTAAATTACAAGAAGAAAAATTGTATTTTTAAATATTTTTAACCTTTTCATAGATATATGTTCACTCTGGAATTACAAAAACATCTCTCTTGGTAACTGAACCATATGAAAGGCAGATTTCAATATGATATAATTTTATGTAATGCGCTCTTTTAATGATGGGACATACATCTATTAACTGCACAAGGATCCTACTGAGTATGGATCTGTCAGCTGAGCTAGTCCATAATTATATCAGTTAATTAGTCAATCATGCATTTAACAAGACTGCAGCAATTTTAATGCAGTATATATGAAATTATTTTCCGCAGCTTAGTAGTAAATGCAAAAGTTTGGCATCTGTATCCAGTTGCTAATATAAAGAATGATATTGTGTGGTGTTTGCCTGCTTTTTTTATATAAGAGATCTACAGTCTATTTCTGTTTGGTATTTCTGTTTTTTTTTATCATTATCTTCGTTCGTTTTAATCATGTTTTAAACTGTTTATCTATCTTCCTCTCCCGCTCCATGTTGATGAGGAATAATTTTGGTTTGAAGTGAAACTTCTATAGTATATGTTTGGTTTACTACTTGATATAGACTCATTGTATTAAGTGGAGTCTATAGAATTCGTCCAAACTTTTTTGTTATGCCAAAGTTGATGATAGTCCTTAACCAGTATTAAAATTTAAATTTATTAAATTAAGCTTCTCAGTTAATCCTAAGTTTTTCTCTATGATCTGATCAGATGTGAAGTCTAACCAAAATACTCTATCAAAACAAGTTATCTTTAGAATTTTAGTCTCAGCTTTCAGTAAATATAAGACCTTCGTAATCCTTGTAAAATAAATGCTGGTATCCATTTATTTGTTCTACGTCTGTTCATGTTGCGTACTTTCACTGTGGAATTACGTATTTGAGTTGTTGTGAGCAAAAACATTTGTGTAATGAGATTCCTTTATCAGTTATAATATACTGTCAGTAACCTGATTGAAACAATATTAGATTTTTACACTTTAAAAATATAATATAAACCTCTGAAGAAAATTGGATGTTAATCTAAAGTTTTTTCCAAAACCCAAAAGCAAGCATAGTCATTACAATAAATTTTCATTTTCCATATTTAATTTATTCGTTGTGACATTTTAATATTGAAAATAAAATTGAGGAAATTTCGATTACACAAATGAAAGCAGGATTTATCACCCTCATTTCATGTTTTTCTTGTTGTAAACTGAAAATATCAATTATTTGCTGCGGTTATATTATTGTATAAAATTCTTTCATCAATATGAAATATCTTTTTCTCCAGGCTGTTCCATCGTTATGTTTTATTTGTTAAGGAAAGTTGTGCCTTATGATGATGGTACCGCCATGTTTGTATTTGACTTTATGAATCCAATTTTCTTGTTCTTTTTGAATGAAATAGCTGATCTTTTTTTGAAGTGTTTGCTGATGTATTGGATGAAGCAGTGAATTTGAACAGAAAAAAAATGGATGATCGGTCAATTATATCATGTGTTTATTGGTTTGGTTTTTATCAGTGAGATGTTCTAAGCAATTTATAATTGTTATTGTAATGATGATGAAAATGTAATGATTATTTTCATTGGCTGCTACAATCAGAAAATTTTAAAATAAAAGGAGTACATTTCTAACCGAGCTCATATCAAATTCAAAAATCTTGGTTTGCTCTCTAGACTTCCAAACCTCCAGAGCACAAGGGCACAAATTTCTTTATTTGGTCTTACATGAAATATCAACAGTAGCGGTCCAATTATTTTTACATGCTGCTTTTAATTTCAATTTTATAATGTTACAATGCATTTCCCGAAAAATTTTAAGAAGGTTTGCTGCATCGGCAGTGTTTTGTTTTTTTCAACTTTATTTTTAAACGTCCTTCTTGGAATTCTTTCATAGTGTAAGATTTTTATCAGAGTTGTTCAGTTCGATCGTTTGATGCCATTCCTTTATTTTTTGTTTATCTGCAGGTTTGCGATTTATATTCAGACTATTTTTATGTAACCATACTTTTTTTCATTTACTTTGTCTGCTTGACAGGGTGTGTGACTTTAATAATCAGTTTTATTTTATATCGTTATTATGAGTATTGGTTTGGCTATTATGAGAAACTTTAATATTACTGACTAATTTTGAGGGACAATTAAATTAATGGTCATTATTCCATCACCAAAACAATCCGTAGCATTCTTTTGCTTGGAATTTACCAGTTTTTATTGACGATTTTGTTTTATTAATATGAATATAATAGTCATCGATACCAATTGCAAATTTTAGGTTATTATGCGGTTATTCTTAATGTATTTTTGACGTTTTATATTTATGATAAGCATCAGTAAAAGAGAATATTATGATGGTTAATTTCATGACTCTGTTGTATCGGTTCTAATGGATCATTATTTAGGTTTTAAAAAATTTCCTCATTTTCTATTGATCACTAGAACGGTGCACGTTTTCTGACGCATTCCTATTCCTTTTCATTGGTAATCTGAAACCTGTTGCGCACTTTTCGCGAGTCTACAACTGCGTTTTTTCATGTCAGAAAGTTTTTTTTCTCTACAGATTTAATCCATACTAGTTTCAATTTCGATACAGTGTTTGAATAGAAAGATATACTGGTAACCGTTATATTCTCAACTTGAGTTTTCTAGGTATGCTGGACGTAGCGATGTGAACTAGTATTTCAATTCAATAAAACGAAAGGCACGTTGGTTTGATAATGTGCGAAGTGGAATAATTCCGTCATTATAGTGGAGGCCTATTCTAAATTAGCTAAGTTGTAGTCTGTTGTGTATTCTAATCATGAATACTCTGTATCGCCGCATTTGACGCAATAATAGTAAAATTAATGTTTTTTGCTGTACTTCGCAGCCATGGTTGTACAGAGTATTGGTACGCCTGCTGCAAATTATGATTCATTTTTTTATGCATTTATTCGAGTTGTATCCTGGAAAAGATATTTTCGCTGGCTGCTACCATTAGTAACCCTGCAGTTAAGCCAATCACTATGTTGAGTCAGCGAGTTGATGTCGAACGATATATATGAAAGACAAGTAACCAACACGGACAGTCGGCCAAAATTCGTATATTCAACCCAGAATTAGCAGCCAATACCTTTTTTTATAAAAATAATATTCAAATATTAATGTAAAAGGAAAGAGAATCTTCCCTGGCGGCAGATTATCAAAAAAAAACTTGACAAACTAAGCAATATTTTTTTAAATAAATTCCAACTACATCTCTCTATAATCGCAAAAATCAACGTCGTTTTCGATGGCCAGCGTATACATATACATTTACCTGTGAATATAATACGTACAGTAATTCATAAACTATCTCCAATCCTCAATCTACATCAGGGGTGGGTAACGTTTGCTTCCAGTGTGTCAATTTGTAAATTTCAATGTCAAAATACGCGCATGCGTGCCGACGAAAAATTGCGTTATATTAGTCCGGCAGATAAGGGGCCTTTTTGGGCGCAACCTTTTTTCAGCCATTTTTTTATTATTTGGGATTATTCTTCTTTGGTCATTGAACAATTTTTTTACGTCTTGATATTTGTATTGAGAGTTTTTTCGTCAAATCTGTGCACCATAATGGCGCACAACCTGAACCCCAACCTGGTACTGGGGCGTTATAGCTATCTGGTTGGATTAGAAAATAAAACTTCACCAAAACCTGGGAAGTCTGGACGGTTTCATCGAATTATAAAACGTTTTGTTACACAGATTACAAATCAAAGGTTTGAGCTGAAATGAGTCTATATGGTAACCTCCATAAGGCCCAATTCATAATATCATTGATCGGATTTTACATTAAGTTGATTTCCAGCATACCATGTTCGATTATTAACATAATACAAATCATACAGTCAATAGAATTCATAATCCATATATTGCGTACATTTATCGCGACTTTCGTAACTCCACAAAGGTCATAATATTTTAACCGGAATGTTTATCCGAGATATCAAAGAGACGTTTTGAGTAAGAAAAATCATGAAAATTAGATCACAAGCCTACTGCGGTAATGGAGAATATGCTTACATCGACGGCGGATGAGACACGCAAGCCTGGCCTATGTTAATTGTAAGAGTCCTCCGATGCAAAGACGCCTAAACTAATCTGTTATGACGCCATGATGTGGATTTCGAGTTCATGTATTGACATTTTTCTCATAAAATGAAGGCGTTATTACGGTTAATACTGTTCGGTTAATTTATGCTTAGCAAGCTTTGTTTTTAAGGTTGGAGCGATAGAGTTTTTCAAAGTTATACAAACTCGTTTATTCGATCGCATTTCAATTTTCGCAAGGTGGTTTCGTCGCAGGGTCGTTTACGAAATGGCGTTACGTTACTGCGCCAACCACTGAGCTACAGCCTGAAAAGGCGTGCATGAGCCTCTATCGTTATTTGTGGCGTTTTGAAGAATTTATTGCAAATAAGAAGCGTTTGGCAAGTTTTTACATCCATTTTTCTTCAACCTATTTAATACAAAAAAATCAAATAGTAGGCCTACAGCCATTTTGAACAAAACAGGCAAAAAAAAATTGATTTAAAACAATTGTTAGCAATTCGTTTTGAACAAATCCCTAACCATGATGTAATTGATTTGAATTCCACCGTAACAATATCATCAGCATGATAAAGAGACCCAATTTATTCATAGCGGTTATATATTAACATATCACATATTTTGAGAAAATGAAAACAAAAAGGCAACGACCATAATCTTATTTTGTAAATAATATTTTAATACAGTACAATGAATAGATTTGAATATAACTATGAAAAAATAATACATTTGAACATAGTTCGAAGTACGAATTAATAAATTTCCAATTCTTGTTTTTTTTTGGCATGGAAAATACAAGACATAATGAATAAAAACTTTTGGTTCTCCCATTCGGCACCTATGTTCACGGAACTTTTTTTCTCGGAAGGCTAAAAGAATAAAAACCAATAGTTTTCTTTTGTGTTTCAAAAAATCAGTTGTAAATGATGTTATTTGATGAACGTTTCCCCAAACTTTGACCCTGGAAAAATTCTCCCTATACTTTACTTAAGAATTTTTTTATGCTTATTCTGATAGCGTTTTGGAGAGTGGACGTTTACTAAGTGGTGAACATGGTAAAAGCCAGCATTTTTATTGAAATATTTAACCACGCCCGCTTGCAGGTGCTGATAGCTAATTTTAGTCTAGTGTACCAAAGCTTCCCTCGGGACCATTTTTTTATTATTGCAGCTAAAGGAAAGCTCTTCCGGAGGACATAATGACAATTAAATTACAACTAAGTTTTGGAAACACTACTAAAAATAGGCCAATTAATATGGAAAACGAGCCAATATTTACAACCGTGCTTGGATATCTCTCTGAGCGATTGTACAAATTGTTACCGTACAATTCAGCAGTGGTTTTCAAACTTTTTGATATCGTTACCCCCAGTGATTTCCCTACACCCCCCCTATAGGGGGTGAACACCCCCCCCCCCTCCCCTAAAATTTCAAACACCCCCCCTAATTTTGAGGTGCGATTCCACACTAAGGGGTTCTAAACCGCAGTCTGCGGGACAATTACGGCCCGCGTGACGATTTAAAATGTCCCGCCGAACTTGAGTGAAATAGTTTAACCCTTCATGTGGTACCTTTTGAGTTTTAGATACCGTCTATTGTTACATCATTATCACAGTTTAAGCACGTTTATTTCGTAACAATTGAATTATTCCGGTATCTTATGTATACGTATGGGTATTAGGATTACACACTGCAGTATTTTAGATATCAGCCGTATATTAAGAAAGCTTAAAGATATCACAAAACGAAAACTAGGCACTGAAAACAGACGTTTTTTAGATGAATGACAGCGTTTTTATTTCTTTATTGAAAAGAATCAAACTTCAGCGATTTGTCTTCTTACCAACAAAATATTTCAGTTCTGAAGGAATACAACATTATGCGACATTATGATCAGTTGACGAGCTTATTCCAAAATTTAATTCATACAAAAGTCAAACAAACATGTTCAAAAAAATTAGAAATGTGTAACAAAACAAGAGAGCAATGCTCAAATATATGGACACGCAGAACAATTCCCCAAAAATCATATGCGGTGAGCCGGTGACCAACGACTAACATACCGGCGGTGACTTACCAGTACCTGTATCGGGGTACCGTGACGGTACAAGGACTGTCATAGATATTTTAGGTCCTGTGACAATTGAAACATCAGTTGAAATATCTCGTGATATGAGTCAATTATGTACCGTATTATCGGATCAGGTACCGAACCACAGTCAAACATTTCACATAAAAACGTTACTAAATAACATGCGTCAACTTAACACCAGCCGAATCGGGGTACAATTTTTGGTACAGTGACTGTCATAGCCGTTTAGGGCTGATGGACAATTCGACTACACGGACAACTCACCAGGCCTAGGGTGGTGTAGCCAGTCTGCGGACAATTTCATACAAACCGCTATAAAACAAAAACCAATATATCTAACCCGTTAATTTTTTCACCGTGGGTGCATTGGCGACATTTATTCTACACGCTAAACCTCGTATTAACTTTCTACGACAAAGGGTTAAAGCTATACAAATCCCCAAAGTACGGCACTCGAAAGACGTATTTGCGACCGAACGACCAGTGTGCGACCACGGATTTCAAGCCTTGATCATCGTTTCTGCTGCGTCGAGACTATGGCATACGCAGCCATACAGCAATCAAACAGACAAAACACGGTGGTCGCAAATTGGTTGACAATTGTTGGTCTTGTGACAGCGTGAAAACATTGGGCTTCTAATTGTATTTCTGACCGTCATATATTTCAAGAACACGGTTATTTCGAACAAAACTCGTTAAATTATAAACAAAGCACCACATCACAGCAATCAAACAGACGAAAACACGGTGGCCGCAAATTGGTTGACAAAGATATTATCGACGTATCGGAAATGCACACCCCCTATTCCCCCTCCTTCAAATGTAGAAACGCGAAACTTTCAAATATGGTTAAAAGAAACACAACTCTACCCACCTGTCAAGTTTCATCTTTTTATTTCTCATATTTGTATGGATTTTCAAGCTTTTGACAGCTACGAGTTAGTTCAGTGTCACCGCGCTGTGTTACGGTACCAGAACTTCTCTATCTTTAGAAGGTCCTGTCTTGTGACAGCGTGAATTGAAATTGCAAGATGGTCCGTTGGACACAAAATGGCGTCCGATATCCGCAGAACGTTTAGTGACGGCATAGCAAACGAAAACAAATCTTACAGAGCTAACAGAAATATTTGAAATAAATAAAAGTAATAGCCTTCTGGAGAAAAATTTCATCTTCAACCACTGAAAATTTCAAAGCAATTAGTCCAGTAATTAAAGAGAAAAGCGACTTTTTAAAAACGTGTCAAAGAACAAGAACAAGAACAACAACAACAACAACAACAACATAATATTGAAACGATCGTTATGTCCACTACGTGTCCAACAAGCCATAAGTAGCCATTCATACAATGCCAGATGAGCAAGTAACTTCATTAGTCACTATCAGTTGCAAATTACTTGTTGAAACGTAATAGTATCCCAGATAGCACAACTACGTTGGGCCAACGTTATAATCCGCCGGCAACCGTTGTACGCGGTTTTACAACCATTTACCATGGTAAGGCCATGATTGGCATTCAACGAAACACGCCATTACGCGATGAAATGGGCGCGCGATTCGAATATAGCCCAT